ATTTTCTGTTTTATTAGCATAATGAGCAGTTGCAAGATCTGGCCAAAACACAAAATTATTATCTTTATGATGTTCTCTAACAAATGGTATAAGTCTTTTCTTCATACATTCTTTCACATATATATTGGATGTTATTGAATTCTTTGATCTATGTATATAAGGTTCACAAAATCTATTTGAAGAAACGCAAATCCAAACCAATACCTTTTCTTCGAATTTTTTTTTCAACTTATATTTTACATTATCAGGGACTAACAATTTATTATTTGTATAATTATATATCATTTCCAGGTATATTTGAGTTTGATAGGTTAAAAAATTTTTCGTCATCCATGATTATATCTTTTTCATGGAATACTTTATTAACTAATCTTCTCGATGATGTTGCTGCTCTCTGTTGTTGATCTTTTTCATACAAAAGTGCTTTTTGTTTTTTGTAGCATTTAATATCTGTTTTGAAATTAATAGTTCTTGAAATTGTGCTTTGGTTCACCTTAAAATATGAAGCTAAATAATTTTGACTAATACTAGTTGAATTATTTAGCATTTTAGTCTATCGTTTGACTTTTTTCTTATCCATTATTGGAGGACAACCTGATCTAACCAAATCATTATACACACCATACTTCTCATACCTTGCAAGAATACTAAATATAGTTGACTTTGGTATTCCTTCATTTTTAAAATGTTTATATGTTAATTTCTTTTTATCACTTGAACGATTTTCATAGAACGTTACAGTTTGTTTTGCGAGGGCTTCTCGATCAAACCTTATCATTTTTTTTTTGTCTAGATAAAAATTAAAAGTGATTTAAACACATTAATGCTTGATCTTCAAAATAAACAATAAGTTGAAGGTTGAAAAATTACTCTCCTTATTTAAATCAGTCTTAAAAAAAGTTCGAAGACTTATGCATAACCCGTTAGGCACCTGTCTAAGTCAATTTGAATAGACACTTAGTCTAAGTCAATTTGAATAAACTCATATGCATAACCCGTTATGTGAAGATCTTGAAGGTCTTGTTGTTAAAAATGTCGATCGTTACAACTTCTTCATCACCATCAGAATTTTTATAAACATTCAATATGTTTGCAATGTTATTTGATTTTCTCAATCAAATTATTACTTATTATTACTCAATTAATATCATTATAACTGTGTACAATGTTTATCTTTACGTAAAACAGAACTTATCAAACTTGTTTATTCGGACAGAAATCTTTCAAAACTTGGTAGATGGAAGATATAACTATGTTAACTTAGAGATCTAACATAAAAACATGTGCATACCTGCAACTTCATTCCTATCAGAATACGCTTTATCAACTGCTGGACATGTAGTCAATTAATGACGTGCATCTTTGGCACCCAAAACAATGGACAATTATAATTTCTAAACTGTAATTGAGATTTGTGTAACCTGGACACTTGAAGTAAAATAAAATTTAGAAATAAGTGAAAAAGAATATTTCTAAAATAGATGACATCATTCAATTAAAAGTTATTAATAACTTTCTATAAAAACAAATTTATTAAAAAATGCTATTTTTTTAACGGGTACCACCATTCGTTCGACACATTTTCAAGATTTTCAATAGCATAAGTTTTGATATCAACTTATCTGCTATGGAATAACAAATGCTTTTTTTACTTAAAGTTTATTGTTTACAAACCATAAATTTTGGTATATTTTATTGGTTTTGTTTGTTGTTTTTTTAACTATTTGTTGTGTAATCTAAAAGATATATAAAGTAGGTTAGATATTTCCATAATGTTTAAAAAGTATGGAATCAAGTTTCAGTTTTGCATTTGATTCTAGTATTAATTTTTTAGGTTGTAAAGACTTTTAATCGACTTTTAGTGAGATTAAAGTTTGACTATCTATCAGGTTAACGCTCTTTTCTTATATAGCACATTTCAAATGACTAATATATTATGCCTGTTGTTAGGGAGACCATTCTTTTTGATACACTTTATGTTGTGTTTTTTATTTAAACAAAAAACTATTCTAAACAAACGATACTTTATTTTAACTTGTTTTACTCGCAACACAATGCAGTTACCTAAAAACCAACTGTAAATTATAAAAATAGGCAAATATTTGCCAAAGTTTTCACAATTCACAGTGGGTCATGACCGACTTTTAATCTTTGATTTCGGACCCGCTTTCAATTTTTGAATATATACTATCTTTGACGTTAAAGATCAGCATAAATGTTAAAAATAAGTATTTGTATAAAGTTTTTTTTTTTTTTTTTTTCAAAATTTTAAAAGTATATACCCTACATTAAAAAAACCTGTCGTTTAAATATTTTCATTTTGGTTTTAGGAGTCTTCGGAAAAATTTCAATGTAAAAAATGTTTATAAACGTTTGTTTAGGTAACATGTTTTTTTTTTTATAAAAAATAATGGTCAAAATATTTATAAACATAAATTTCATCTAGGAGGGTAGATTCGGGTAATATGATCATCTTGGTAATATGAGCATACCAAGAAATATCTAAAATTTAAGTAGGAAAGTTTAAGTTGCTTTATATTTTTTAAATCGAATATATGTGGTGATAACAGAAAACAGTATAATTAGCGTAAATTTAGCAGAATAATAGCGGCTCTCATGTAATTAAAACGCTGTTCAACTTTTTGCGTTGTTAAAATATTATTATTTCACATGCTTGAAGTATAGATACTTATTTGGTCAATCAAGTTGAAATATACATATTTAAATGGCCAATCAACGTACAAACATACAAAAAAAGGCAAGATTATTCCCATCTTGTATCGCCCAAATTAAATTTTATGTTGAAAAATCTGGCGAAACACTCTAGAAAAATTAAAAATGTTCTAAACTTAACTGCTACCCGGTGTGATTTCAATATGTAAGTGAAATTTTTGAAGTTATTATATAAGAATATAACTACTTTATGAACTGCAATTTGAAAAGACGATATAAACTTCTTTATTATCAAGCTTAAGTTAGGTTGCACGATGATTGAAAAGTGGCCACTATAACTTCGTCTTTAACTAACTCTTTTTAAGTATTTAGCATTTGTGGACTGACCCCTTCAAACAAAAGCAATATAAATATTTTCAAAAAACTCAAATTTAGTTTCAACTGAGCTTACATTGAGCAAAATGCTGAAAAAACTGTTAAAAAAAATGTTCTTCCAATTATTGGTTTAGTTGTAGATGTACCAAAAAGCAGTGGTTCAGGTACATCAAATGATTGAAACACGGCACGATAAGTGTTCCAAAACTCGGTATCTGCTAAAATACTTGGATTAAATAAAAATCTCATGAAACATTTCTACGTAATTCTTGTTAATTCTTGGAGTTCAAATTAACGCTTATGAGTTTGAAAAATATACCAAAGAAACAACAAAGCCCTTTTTACCCATGAAAGCTCTTTTTACAATGAGAGCTACATTTATCATGAGAGCTTTATTTACCCAACAGCAGAGTTTTTTTTACCTATGTTTCAAAGAGTGAATAAAATATATATACGTAGTTCTCAATTTGTAAGAGATGCGAGATACCAGTAGGCTTTTTGATTTTTTAAGGCTTTTTTATAAAAAACCTCAGGAAAGTTAAAAAAAGACGCAAAAAAAACATTATACAAAAAATTTTCAAAAACAGTCACTAAAAAAGAAGTTATACGAAGATTATTGTGCAGTGCAGATCCACATATTAGCTTTCGAAGAAGAAGTTTATAATGTATTAAAGAGCTTGACAAAGGTTGTATTAAACTTTTATTGTAACTTGTTTTTAGTTTTAAGTTTTGTATAATTTTTACTCAATTTATTTAACAGACAAAGTATCTAATAAATATTTTTTTTTTTTTAAGAAGAAAAAAAAGGTATACTTACATACTTCTTAATTAACTACTGCTTTTTAATTAAATACATACTTTTTATTTAATTACTGCTTTGAATCTGGGAATAACTGATTTTAAAAAAAATAAAAGGTTATGTGACAAAAAAATCACAAACGCCCCACATTTCTTTTTTTTTTATATGAGAGTGTTTAGGGTATCTGCAAAAAAAAATTGTAAAAAAAAAGAAATCGTGCTAACATGAGCCGCTGATAAAAATTTAATTCTGAAATCTTTAAAAATAATGGAGTTATGATACTTTTCCATTTAATGTTGATCTTGGCCTGCTATGCAATGGCTCAAACATCATACTAATTTTGCTCTTTGCAATGTTAAGCTTTTTTATTTGAAATTGCAGTATGATTAGTCATCAAACAGTGAATTTACAAAAAAGCCATTTGAATAATACTTATAGGTTTTGCCTTTCAAATATTTTCACTAAGGTTATTGTCATTGACTGATTCTTGATAAAATATCCAGATATTTTTTATAACTTTCAAATATCCAGTTGTGGTGGTTTTCTCAAATATTAAAAATGTCTCTTTGCAGGTCAAAAAGTATTTAATTTGCAAATATGACGCTCAACACAGTACAAGGTTAACAACTAAGCAATTTTTTTCTTATTTGTATTAATTCGGGTTTTTTACGACAATAAAGGCATGTATAGAAGAATGCCTAGTTAACACTAGAAGTTGAAAGTGCTTTTTGACAAAATACAAAAAAACCTTTAAACCACATTCACTCGTAACACATGTAGTAAGATTGGTCGTATTGTCTTGAAACAACGAATAACAACAAATGTGATTGACAACAGTCCTATAATAACAAAAAACATGTCATTCTAAAGAAAAGTTCTGAAATCAGTTGTTTTAAACATGCTACAACAATACATTCTAAAATAAGATTTGGCATGATTTTTAATATGTGTGTATAAACCTAAAAAACAAGCGTATCTTGTTTTAAGTTGCAATGCTCTAAAAATAGCATAAAGTTTTATTTGCATAAATTACTTTATTTGCATAAATTACTTTATTTGCTTAAGTTGCTTAATGATGTTGATTTTTATTTGAAATCAATAACTTGACTTGTTTCATATTCTTTTAAACCAAAACATTACATTTGATGGTTTGTTTATATACTCATCTGTAAGTAAGTTTAAATCTTGTTTTTTTTATTATCTATTTATTTTATAAAAGTTACATTCTTTAAAAAAAACTTGGATTAGGGTAATGAAGTTATTATTTCTTTATAAAACTATCTGATGTAAAACTAAAATTGAATGAAAAAGAAGAGAATGCATAAGTATATAAACGTATAAAAAAAACGAGGTTTATGCTTTTTCTAACATTTCCAAGTTATCATTTTTTAAATCATAAGGAATAAAAAATAAAAACTTTTTTAAATATTTCCACGAAAAAAAAAAATAAAAAAAACAACATAGAAAGCGCATGAAACATCGAAAACCATTAGACCACACAAACAGTGTGGTCTAATGAGTTGCAGTGTAAACTGCAAATTTAGAAGATCCAAACTTTCATACATTGCTACACATTGACTGGGGAAGTATCACTAAGCAACGTTTCTTGTGTGTAGTCTTTTGCAAAGGTGCACTATAATAGGTGCATATAGTCTTATATAGCTACGAGCACGTTTTTACAAAGTTTTCTATTCAAAACATTTATAACAAAATACTACAAGTTTTGTTATAAGAAATCTAGGCGCTGCAATTGCGCAATTAATTTTTTATTTGTATTCTATAAAAAGAGAAAAATAAAATGACAAAATAAATTCAAAAATGTAACTTGATCAATAAGCTATGTTCATCAGGTTACATTTAAACAAATAAAGCTTTTTCTTTAAGAAAAACAAACAAAAAAAACAACTGTTGCTGATTTTAAGACATTTGGAGGTCAACCATGTTGATAAACAGGGTTTTTGTAGGTCAAGCATTTTGACTAACTTTTAGGTTCCTTTATACACTTTAAATAAAATGTTAACATCGTTTTTATAGTCGGTAAGTATTAGTTGTTAATGAAGCTGTGCCTAAAATAAAATAAACTTTGTTTCGTGTAAAAAAGATAACATAAACATAGATTCATGTAAAAAAAAAGTAAATAAAATAAAAATTAAATTAGAAGATATATAAAAAAGATACAATATATATATATATATATATATATATATATATATATATACACACATTTATATATATATGTGTGTGTGCGTGTATATATATATATACACATATATATATATATATATATATATATATATATATATATATATGTGTGTGTGTGCGTGTGTATATATATATATATATATATATATATATACACATATATATATATATATATGTGTGTGTGCGTGTGTATATATATATATATATATATATATATATATATATATATATATATATATATATATATATATATATATCACTTCTTTTTATGGAGACATTTAAAACAAATAAGTTATTAATTTATTAGCAATATTTCGAGACCATTCGAAGGTCTCTTCAAACTGTTTTAAAGTCTGATAATGAAACCGTCTAGTGGTCTCAAAATATAACAAATAAATAAATAACTTAGTTGTTTTGAATGTCTCCATAAAAAGAAATGATTTATAAAAAACTCATTTTATGAATTTGAGAAAAAAAAATTTTCTCATATTTAATGAGTGCCTATTACTTATAAGCCACTCCCAACTTATCCGCGACACTGTTAACTGCGTACTGTTAGACTTAGTTCTGTATGTTTTTATTTAATATAAGCTATGAATGTTTTTTTATAAATATCAGTTAGGCTTTGGTAAAATTTATTCTACAAAATTGTATACTTAGTAATTAATTTGAAAGTAGAGAAATGTTTTAAATGAACTTGTACAGTAATGTTGGATTGAAAACGTATTTTTTGAGACAATTAAAATATTAGTGTTGTAAACTTTTACTATAAACTTAATTATCGCATACTAATGTTAATAGTAAAAGAAATAAAAATAATAATAATACTGATAATAATGATAACAATAATTGAAAACAAATACAGCAACAATAATAAAATACATATACATATACTCACATACAGTTGTATAGAAAAACGTTAATAAATTTACTTTGTTTTCTCCCATTTAAGGTTTGACAGCAGTTGTGGTTGCAAGCTCTATACCTTCTTAAAACTGCCAGCTTTTGCTTCAATCAATTAGCATGTCTGCTTATGGAATCATGCAGTTTTCTAGTACCATTATAAAGGATGTTTCATGATTCGGCTTGAATAAATGTTAGACACACTTATTCCATAAATATTAAAGCAGCACCATATACCACTCTCATCGCTGTCTTGCAACCTTGACAAAGCAGTTACTAGGTTTTTAAATCTAAATTTCATTACAATAATTTTTTCTTTACTGAGTCAAAGTTACTTTCATCAATTAAAATTACTTGCTTTCATTTTTTTTAAAACCAGCTTGCTCTTTCCTTAAACCACCTTATTCTGGCTGTTAGTATGGATTTTTTAATAACTGCATAAACGCCAATATTTTTCTGAAGTAAAATAATTCTAACTGTATTTAAAAACGGACACATTTCACAGTTTTTTTTATATTTATTAGTAAATTCACGGTAATTTAAGGATGGGTAGGTTCTTACTTAACAAAATATGAGACTTTCTTGCGCTCCATCATGGCCGACGACACGGGTTTTAAGTGGAGGGCCTTATTCGTCTACTTCTAAAAAAATTCCACTATATCTAGAATTTTCTCTAAAAAAAAAAACCTGTGTGCCCCCGGGCTTCTCCCCCTTTTACCCGGCGTCGTCAGCCCAGTCCGTAGCTTCTATTTTTTAACCTTTTAACCATGCGCGATGTTGATGTCACTTGTCATTTTAAATGCTTTCAGAGTATTTCTGACTCAATTAATTAAATGTTTAATTTTTTTGTAATATCTTTGTTACTTATCATGAAGCCATCCTTCATAATTATTATTTGCCACATTGTTGCTTCGCTGTTGTTTCACTTTCACTTTGTTGCTTCACTCAACCAATCTTAAAATGGCTTTAAATATGACTAAAAAAATCATCGTGATCAAATTTATGCACCTTTTTTTACGGAACTGTCAAACTAACATATAAATTAATAAAATAGTTGTAAAACAGTTTAGTTAAGAACTAACTTTGTTAGTTAATTATGTGGCAGTTTAGAAGAAAGTAAAATGGAAATTAATTTAAAAGATTGTGTTCATATATACTACTCGTTCCGGTATGTTTTTTGTATTCATCAGATAAAAGTAAATTAATTATGCAGCACCAAATGAGCTTTTATTGACGTGTTAGTTATAAAAATTCTGTATAAATTTGTATAGAAATTTTGTCATGCGAAAAAAAGAATCTTTAGCAAATATAGTTTTTTTTGTTTAGAAAAAAAGAATCTTTAGCAAATATAGGAAGTTTTGGAGCACCTTAATAACCACAAAATAAAAAATTAAAAAATATTTTTAAAAATGTTTAAGCTATCAAAGAAAACACATTTTTAATTCTATTTAAAACCTTAGAGCTCTTGCAAAAATAAAAGTTCTTTAATTACATGCGAAGTGCTGTTATGCTGTAATTCATGTTAATGTCGAGCTTAACAGAATTAGTTTTAATTTAATTGTTTCCTATTGGTTAAATATTCATGTCCTCTAATGCAGCTAGGTTTTTTAAACAGATATCTTGAAAACTCAAGAATTGATTAGAACAAATTTTTAAAATAGTTAAATTAGCTGAAAAAGTTGCTTTTCAAGTATTTTCTTATTTTTTAACTCAAATTCATTAAATAGTATTTATATTGCAATTATTCAAATATATAATTTATATATTATAAATTTATATTACTGTATAAATAAAGTTGTATATTAGTATTATATATTTTTATATTATAAATACTAAGTTTATTTTATTCATGACAGTTAAAAGTTTTTCTTAAGATTTGTTAATAAACTTTCAATTCTAATTTTATGGATGTAGTTCACCTTGTATAGATATGAGATATTTATTGTTTAATAGGGGCCGTGGTCAGCTACAAAAGTAAAATGGGTGGATGGAAAAAAGATATTAAAAATGAGGTAAATTAGGTACTAAAAATACTTTTGTTTAGTACTTTGTTTGGTGTTGGGTGTTATCAAAAATATTGAGGTTTTTAAAGTTAATTAACACTGGTTACCTGTAAACGTTTTACGTTGTAATAAAGTATACTGGACAACTTATTTCCCCAATACACAACTCTAAGACCATCCATTTCGACAACTGCAAGGACCTTCACTTTTATTTATATAAACTATTATCAGATTTATAAGCCGTAAGCCAAACTTAAGATTTGTTTCAAAAATAGTATTGTAAAGTAGCAGTAACAGGGTTAGGAAAATGGTAGATTTAATTTTAGGATTAGGGTTATGGTTAGTATCAGTTATTAAAAGTTTGGAACTTGCATTCAGGTAAATATTAGGTTTGGGAAACTTGACAGGTGAAATGACATATTTAAAATTTTTTGTGTAACTGTGGTAATTATAAAAAAATATGTCGACCCAAAAAAGTTTAACTTTTAACATTTGTAAAAAAAAGCTCCGTTACAAATTTTTAATTTCTTTTTACTTGCTCTTGATGACTTGTTGGTTCTCTTATTATTACTAACTACTTAAGTAGTTAGTAAAAATATTATTATTACCAAATTAATGCCTAATTAAATATCTCATTAATAATTAGTAATGAGATATTTTATTGGGCTCTTCATTAGGCATTACTTTAGTAATAATATTATTTACAAAGCTATATATAACTACAATTTATCTTTAAAAACAAAAAAAAATAATTATTCAAATAAATATTCAAATATCAAATTAATTTATAATAAATTCATAAGTAATATATTTATAGTTAACTATATTTTAAATAAATAGTTTTATTAATTTCTATTCTACTAGGCAAAACTTTTTGATGAAATGGGTTTAAACATGAAAGAAGCACATACTGCAAAGGTAGCAGTTGTAAAATTGGATGAAAAGTATGGTTTAAGGAATCAGGGAGTATTTGCAACCCAAAATATTCATCAAGGCGAAGTTATTTTCCGATGTGACCCATCTGTTTGTGATTACGATAATGCAGATTTGTTAAAAACTAAGGACGAAATGAACGAGTATTTTGTCAAATTTCCTCAATGCAAAGAATATATAGTTAGATATACTCATATGGTTGATCATGATACGTACGTATTACCGAAGAATTGGGAAGAACTGAAGTTAGAATGTATTTGTACACTGTTTAACCACAGTTGTCAACCAAACAGCGCATTAGTAGAAAACGACCATTTTGTTGCACTAAGAGATATTGCAGCTGGTGAAGAGCTTACGTATGACTATCAAACTTTAGAGACAGAGGCGAGCCTTGATGTTGGATTAAACTGCAAATGCGGTTCTGATAATTGTCGTGGTGTGCTTTTGTATGATTTATATAGGAATGATAAATGGCAGAGTATGTTTTATGATTATTGCTCCCCTTATGTTAAAGATCAAATTGACAATTTAAAAACAAGATGGTTTTCATCGGAGTGTTATGTTAAGCGCTTAGATGGTTCACAGTTAGGATTAGTTGCCACAAAAGCAATTGCAAAAAACACGTTGGTGGCCATTTTTTCAAATGATGTAAGACCTGAGTTACATTACCTTAGACCTAGTATTATTCCAAATTGCATTGTTATTGAAAACAAAGTTTTCACTGCAAAAGATATAAAGCCTGGTGAAGAAATGACTTTAGATTATACTAAACTAAACAACCAATCAAAATAAATCATAAATCATTTAAAAATTTATCCATTTGTTCCAAATTTAACTTACTACCTATATTTAGTTAGATATTTGCTAATTTCTGAATTTTTTTGAAGCTCTTGTTGACACTGTTTTGTTCTAAAATATGTTGAAATATTATAACTAATTAAATACAATTAATACTTACTTTTATTTTTTAAAGTTATCTAATTTTACAAATGTATTATTATTTTACTAAAAAAGCGAATATTCATTCTTTGCCAGTTTACCGAATAGATTTTGAAACTAGCAACTCAAGTTTATAATATTACTTGTAGCTTCTTCTTGCTTTTCTACTTATGAATTAATACCCATGAATTATTTTAGTATGTTTGTCATACTTTTTTACTCAATTGCTGTAATTTTTTTTTTGGTAATTAATTTTGAAAAAATTATCTAAAAAAATATTTTCTAATTATCTTAATGACTTTAGCTAAAAAAAAAAAAAAAATACGAATTATGCACAACGATAGAGGCAATATTCTTAAAATCGTTGAAAAACATTTAATTTTTATTTTACCAAATTTATATTTAATTATGTAACATGTTTCTATTAAAACATGTCGTGTTAAAATAAACGATGTCGTATAATTAAGAGAAATGACATCATAAATAAGCGGCAATATAGTTAGTATAAAAAATTAATAATACATTCAAATAATATTTTTCAATAGTAATATATAAAAACATTATTCATATAATTTTTTTTCTTTTTTAAAAGTTTATTTTTTGATTGCTCTTTCTTCATCTTATTTTTCTATGATCATATTAACTTCAATTTAAATTTTAATACTTCAATTTAAGCTCCTTATAAATCCATTCTTTCCAGCTTCAACAACTTTCATTATATTTTGCATTCTAAATATTTTTGGTGCTCGTGACCAAAACTTACTAAATGAATTATAAAATAAAAGTATAATAAATTATGTCATACTTAAAATAACTTAATTTTAACAATTTTGAACAAAATAGAATAATTTATATTAAAATTGTATAGCTTATTACAATTATAAATTTATTAAAACTGCATTTTTGCATACATAAAAAAATAAAAAAAAGTATTTTAAAACTTTGGTTTGTAAGAAACAGGAATATACTTAAAAGTCTGATGAACGCTTAAAAAGGCCTAATAAACTTAAAAGTCTGATGAAATATACTTATACATACCTATTTATGGTATATACACACCTATATATACCTATACATACTATGGTATATATATATATATATATATATATATATATATATATATATATATATATATATATATATATATATATATATATATATATATACATATATATATATATATATATATATATATATATATATATGTGGTATATGTTATATACCTATGCGCGTCCGTGGTGCAGTGGTTACAGCGCTATCTTTATAAGTAGGAGATCCAGGTTCAAAACGAGCTCTGGACATATTTTCGCGTCACGGTTAAGAAGATGTGAACTTCCTGGTTAAATGCACTTCCGCGGTGCTCTGTGACAAGACCGTTAGGTCTTCTTGGGGCACCTTGGGATACATACCTGTTTATGCCCTAAATACATACCTACTCATACCATGATACACACCTATTCATAATATGATGCATACCTTGTCATACAATAGTACATATCTATTCATACCATTATAAAAACCTACTCAAATCATGATACACGACTGTTCATACCATGATGCACACCTGTTCATATCATGATACATACCCAGAAACATACCTGTTCATACCATGTTACATACATATTTATATCATGATACATGCCTATTCATACCGTATAACATACCTGTTCATACGATGATACACATTTAAATTGCTTTAGAAGCACATTTAAATGTGCTTCTAAATTTAAATTGCTTTAGAAGCAAAAGATCTAGAGTTCGAAGCGAGCTCTGGGCATACTTTGCACTATCGGTAAGGAATGAAGAGTGAACTTACTTGTTAAATCTCTTCAGCGGTGCTCTGTAACAAGACTTCTTGGGGCACCTAAAATAAAAATAAAAACAATTTTTAATTAATTATTTTTATTTTAATATTAGTTAATAACTTAACATTATCAATTGTTATAGGCTTCCAATATGTTTTAAATAATGAAAAAGAAACACCATGCTATGCACATTTTGTGTAAATACTACAAGAATTAAGTAGAGAGCAAAAAAAACACTCCGAACTTTATAAAATGGAACAATGGATGTGGGTTATTCCTGAATCCTAGCCCCGCCCAAAAGCTTAAAAACCAATAAAAGAAAGACTAAAGCTTTTTATGTTGTTTAAACATACAAATCGATTAATTAAAATATGAAATGTACAAATGATGTCAATATTTACGGCTTAAATTTTTTTTTTTAAATAAACAAATAGCTTTTGTAGTTTGTTTCATTCATAGGCGCAGCGCTTATATTTACGTTGACATATTTATCTAGTCATAGGTGCGGTTGCGTGTTCACTCAAGATTTTTTTTTCATCAAATTGAGTTATTTTATATATATATAAAAAGTCAAATTTTTATAAAAAAATTATATAGTTTTATTTGCATTCTTTGGAAAATAGTTTTTCATCACATCATGCTATAGAGCAAACATTTTTGTCGTGGAACTTTGAGCAGTTCATTGGACTTTTGTTTATCGGTTACATTAGCAATCAACATTAGTGTCAGTCTTTGGCGCCTGCCACTAATGGTAAATCCACTAAGTAACCGATCAGCAAAACTATAGTGGACCGCTCAAACTGTCTATATAGGTTCACTGATATTAGAATGTTTCATTAATACTCACTCTAACAATTATTATTTTCTTGCATGTTTTAATTTATTTTTAACTTCAATAAGTCCTTTGAGTACGTTGAATAAGTTTTATTATGTTTTTAACGGAATAGCAACCGCAATGCTTTTTCAACAAATCCTTTTTGTTCAGAGGCTTTTGCTTAGTATATTATCTTTTACAAATTTCCTAACTTTTATATTAGATTTTAATCTGACGAATATGCTGATCAATTTAATTAACTCATAAAATAATTTCAGAACTATATTTTTGCAATAGAAACTGTATGTTTTTGATCGTTATCCTGCTGATATATCTAGAGCAACGGTATGTTATCTTAAGCACACTGAAGCATTTCTTTTTTTTAAGCATATTTACATTAATATCAGCCATCATAAAAATTGTTATTAAACCATTCAATTCATCGTGATATCTCTTGATATGACTCTCCACTGATTTTAAGTCGCTAAATTATTATAAGATCAGCCAAACTGCAGTTATGATATTCAGCAACTTATAATTTTTAGTAAAAATTGTTGTATGGATTTTTGATTAAGGTGTTATAAGCACCTTAAGCAAAAATTAAATTAGTTTTAAAAATAATTATGCTGGCTTCAAAATATTTGCGAATAAACTATTTTTAGGGATCACTACTGGTGATCCACTTAAATATTTGGGCACACGAAATTTTTTCTGAAAAACACAGAGGTTTTAAAAAAAGTAGCAAATGTGTTCAAATTACCCAGATCACTTGGTAATGTGAGCACTTTAAATTAGTTCAAAAAAATAACATTTAATTAAGTAAAAAATACCAACCCGACAATTTGAACTAATTTGTGGAATATAATAATTTGTTATTGACAAAACTTGTCATTAAAAGATCAAACTTTATGCCAACTTTTATTTAAACTACTTTGTTTTACGAAACAATCAAAAAAAAAAAAAAGATCTTTTAAGCAACTTAAGCAACTTTAAATTCACTGTTTACATCTTAGAATTCTTTTAGTATGCTCATATTACCAAGGTGCTCATATTACCCTAATCTACCCTACATTAATATCATATTATTATTACTTATTATTATTATTACTTATTATTACTTATTATTATTATTACTTACTGGTTTCCAATTAAATCAATACAATTTAAAGGTTAAAGTAATAAAATAAAAAAGTAATAAAAATTAATATCTGCAACTTCAACAAAGTTTTTTTTATTACTTTAATTGTAAATAGTTAACTAAAATATTTTTAATATTTACTATTTGGTTGAAAAAGATGAAATTTAGAACCTTTTAATTTTAAATTACTGTAAAACAGATTTTTGGGTGGGATTTTGTCTCTAGTTGTAGTAGGCGTGGGTTTCTTTCAAAAGGGGGCCTTTCGAATTCTAATAAACGGAGAGAGAGATCTAATCCTAAAAGCTACAATGTCTTTGCCTATATTTAAACTAAATGAACTAAGCATATTACTGATCAGTTTAATGGTTTTAGTCGCTTGCATTGTACCTTGGATTTTTAACATTCCAAGCGATTAAAATCTTTCATTGTGATGTAGATTTAAGTTCATATATCTTCTATTTTTTACTGAAGTATACTCATCTAATGTATAACTAAATTTATCTCTATCTTCAAGTTTCTTTTTCTACGATCTTGTTTCTTAACTAACCTGAACTGAAGATCTGAAGTAACCTGAAGTGACAAGATTGCAAACGGTTTTAGGACTTTAAGGGATTTTGTATTCCTGGGCACAAAATGCTAATCGCAAAGTTTCACATTTAACAATGATGTGAAAGCTGATTCCATCAATAGCTGTTAGTAGACTTAGAATTTTAGATGAGTTTGCGGTCATCCCTAAAACAACAATTAACTCGTGATATTTTGGCAGTAGGAATATTTCTTGCTGCCTTGAGCGTTATTGTATTTAAGAACTTCAATTTTGTGTTTTGTTTTTAAATGATAACAAATTAATAGCTAAAAATAAATCAATTTATAATCTAGATTATCATAACTCTTTAAATGTAAAGGTTAAAAAATCTAATCCTGAATTTAAAGAAATACTCAGAATTTTTCTAGCAGACTGAAAATTAAAATAAATACTCATCAACTAAAAACGTAATAGACCTCAAAATGTTTATGTGTGTTTTATAAAATCTGCTTTTTAAATTGTTAGTTTTCATTATATTTTAAAGGTTCTCGATAATTCCTTTTAGTCTCGATAATAAGACTCCTCTTAGTCTCGATGATAAGACTCCTCTTAGTCTCGATGATAAGACTTCTCTTAGTCTCGATGATAAGACTTCTCTTAGTCTCGATGATAAGACTCCTCTTAGTCTCGATGATAAGACTCCTCTTAGTCTCGATGATAAGACTCCTCTTAGTCTTGATGATAAGACTCCTCTTAGTCTCGATGATAAGACTCCTCTTAGTCTCGATGATAAGACTTCTCTTAGTCTTGATGATAAGACTCCTCTTAGTCTCGATGATAAGAGTCCTCTTAGTCTCGATGATAAGACTCCTCTTAGTCTCGATGATAAGACTTCTCTTAGTCTCGATGATAAGACTCCTCTTACTCTTTAGCGAATTTTCCTTTAACTATATCATCTTACTAAATTTATAGAATATATGTATTTTTTCTTTTTT